TCGAGTCCAAGGTCAAATGCGTGACCCTGTGCCGCCCACATCGTGTTAATGTGTTGATGGAAAATAGTGTTAATGAAAAGTAGTGGTAATGGAAAATAGTGCTAAATAATATTTCGTATTTATTAAAATATTATTCGTGGAAAATGGTTAATTTTGGAAACTAGTGCATCTGGTGGAAAATAACGCAATTTACAGGAAATTGTGCATTTAGTGAAAAAATAGTGCCGTTAATGGAAAACTGTTAAAGGAAAATCAATCATTTTGCAAAAAGTGGTGTACTTTGTGATATATAATTTACGGAAAACTGCATTTTACGAGATATTTGCTTCGTGTGCATGCCCGCGTGTGTGTCTAACTGCACTCTGGGGTCACTTGAGCGAGGCTAGCGAAATAATGCATTTTACACGCATCACCGTTTCTAATGTCAAGCGTATTTTCGTGTTTCTTTGTCATGATTATGAGTTTTACTATTGACTTGCTTCGCGTTTTCCATGAACATTGCGGTGCGATCGCTTTCATAATTTTGTTCATGACCATGTTATGCGTCCATGGGTCTCCTGAGCGAGGCTAGCAACACATACATCCCGTGTCAAGTATGATTTCAAGCATATGCATGGTATGCTAGCCTCGCTCAGAGTGCTTGCTTCTTTGTTTCCATGTCGGTATGCGTATTTTGCATACATGTTTAAATATATCTGGATTTTTGTGGCTATTCCCGGGAAAAGTGGGAGTTTCTCTTGTTTTCAGAATTCAGATGACGTATGATAATCCAGAATCCAGAAGGGTTAACATTCGACATTGATTCCTAGTCTATTGTAGGCACAGGTAAGAACATGGTTGTTTGTATGCCTTTGTATTTGCTTACATTTAGCATTCTATTTTACTAGCTATTTTAATACTACTGTTATATGTTTCGCCCCTTTACAGTAACCTGATAGTTTGCTAGTATTACTGTATTTATGTCGCTTGAGCATGATAGGACCCCATTCCTCCCCGTTTCAAGGGGTTTGTTTACCTGCTTCCTCATTTTGTTTGTATTGCTAGCTATAAAGATTTTTTTTCCAAGGTTCATAGTGAAATATTTAATTTGGTGAGAAGGGTTAGATGGGAGGGGGGGGGGGCAAAGCAATATCTCGTCTTTCTAGAATCTTGGAACGACACGATACGTTGTTGCAAGTTACGTTGCTGTACGAAGGGAAGGAATGAAAGACAAAACTCTCAGGCGACGTCGCGGGAAGAGGAATCCCCGCAGGTGAACTCAAAAGCTAAGGTATTTGTTTTAGATATATGAACTTTTTCAGTTTAGATGTTCTTAGATTATCTCTTTCACTGTGTCCACGAAAACTGTCTTCTCGTTACTTCCAGAATCCGGGGAATAACCTGATGCAGAAGTATTGGCACTGGAGGCTGGCTTCCGCAGGACATCCTTTCATAGTTCGTCTGCGTCTGCAGGTGAATGTCGTCTCGGGTGTGAGGTAGACGTCGGAGGAGACTCTTAAAGAGGTGAGGAAAGGTTAATGTATTTCGGTAAGAAAATCTCATATAATAGGATACATGGTAACATGAATGATATTGCATATAATCTGTCAAATAAGCTAGGATGTATTCATTATTTTCGCACTGGGAAGAGGAAGAAGGGAGGGAGGGGGGGGGTGACACTAATATCTCGAGGCTGACTTCCGCAGGACAGACGCTTATTTTCAGAATTTCATACGACAAGGATATGTCGATGCAATCTACGTTCTCTAAAGCGAAGGAACTGCAAAACAAAACGATCAGGCGACATCGAGGGAACAGATTTTACTGCGAGCGATCCTGAAAGTTTACGTAAGTAGATTTCAAATAAGAGTATTTAATTTTTTTACATATTCTGATGAACTGATTTATGGATGAGTGCCATACCCACAGCAGAAAGGAAAATTTCTGACATCTAGTTTATTTTCCAGTGATTTTCTAACGCAGAAAGACTGGCATTAGAGGCTGACTTCCACCGGACAGACGTCGGAGTCACCGAAAAGGAATCGCTGCTGGTGAACTCCAGCGCTAAAGTAAGTATTTTCTTAAATATAATGAAACCATTGGACTTTTTCAACTTGAACATTCTTACCTGTTGAGTACTGTGTCCAGGTAAACTGACTTGCTGGTTGCTTCCAGAATCCATGGATATCCAGACGCAGAGGGATTGGCACTCGAGGCTGACTTCGGCAGGACCTCCTTACAAGCTCGAGGAGGCAGATCAGTGCAGACGCAGGTGCCTCGTCCCGGGTGTGAGTCAGACGTCGGAGGGGACTTCGAGAAGGTGAGGGAAGGTTTATATATTTCAGCATGGGTGCCACATATGATATAAGACATGCCAACAGAAAAATAAAACGAGATTTCGTTTGCTTTCAGGATCCAAGAAAGAAAGCGTTAATTTACGGCGACTCTTGAACTATCGTGGATATTTCGTCTACTTTCATTACTCAGATCGTGAGTTGGTATGATGCTCCCGTGCTGGTCCCGGCCACAACATTAAACTGCAGCCTGGGGTACTTTCCTGTGGCAGGAGGTTAGTAAACTTGTTGCTTGCTTCCGTGTATATATTTTTGCATTGTCTGTTTCTACCTTATGCTTTGCTTTAGTTATATGTGATACAAAATGTATTTGATAGGGAAATGGTCTTTCATATCGAAAGTGGGGGGAGGGGGCGGGGACTGACTAATTTCTCGTATTTTGAAAACTCCAGATGAACTTGGAAGGTCATTGTAAGTTGGGGTGTTCTCTGAAGGGAAGGAACTGAAAGATAAAACTCTTGCGACGTCGCGGGACGAGAAATTACTGCAGGTGAACCAAAACTAAAGTAAGTATTTTTCAAATAACTGTTCAATTTTTTTCACCTCGAATATTCTTACATACTCATTTATGCATAACTGCCCTCTTGACTATGTCCAAGCGAGGAACTAACACCTCGGTTCTTTCAGAATCTAGAGGAATCCCCTTGCAGAAGGACTGGCATTCGAGGAATCGTTTCAGCGTGTTTCGTCGGCGGATTCATCTCTGAGGTGAAGCGGGATTTATGCACTATAGCATGAAGCCAAAGATAAGGTAATGCATGTTATGTTAAATATTTGATTATGATACATACTCGAAGATGAATTTTATTCATTATCTGTGCAAGAGGACGAGGGAGGGGTGGGGTGAGACTAATATTTCATATCTTCCGAACTGAGAGGGAGCAGTGGCATCTCGTCTTTCTAGAATTTCGTAGAGACACGATACATTGTTGCAAGTTACGTTTTTGTTTTTTTGCAGTGTCTGTACTGACATTTGATTTGATATTGGTATTTTGCCGGATAACCTAGCCACTGGGGGGGGCAAGCCAGCCCAAGTCAGTGCCGGTCCCAAGCCCGGGTTAATAGAAAGGGTCGGCGTTAGGAAGGGCATCCGGACATAAAAAAAAAACTTGTACACACACACACACACACACACACACGTGCCACGTGCACACATGCTCACACATGCTCACACGTGCTCGCGCATACACATACACAAACACACACACCCGCACACACACACACACACACACACACACACACACACACACACACACACACACACACACACACATAAACACATTCACGCACACACACACACACACACACATAAACACATTCACGCACACACACACACACACACACACACACACACACACACACACACACACACACACACACACACACACACACACACACACACACATATATATATATGCACACGCACACACACACACATGCTCACGCACACACACGGACGAACGCACGCACACACACACACACACACACACACACACACACACACACACACACACTCATACACACGTGTGCACACGTGCACACACACACACACACACAATTGCGATCACAGTTGCAAGCTCTTTACGAAAACTCACATACCCCCTCTTGCAACTCGGATTTCTTAGTTCTCTCGGAATCTCCTTGACCTCGAGTCCAAGGTCAAATACGTGACCCTGTGCCGCCCACATTGTGTTGATGTGTTGATGGAAAATAGTGTTAATGGAAAAGAGTGCTTTTGGAAAATAGTGTTAATGGAAAATAGTGCTTATGGAAAATAGTGTTAATGGAAAATAGTGTTAATGGAAAATAGTGTTAATGGAAAAAAGTGTTTATGGAAAATAGTGTTAATGGAAAATGGTGCTTATGGAAAATAGTGTTAATGGAAAATATTGTTAATGGAAAATAGTGCTTATGAAAAATAGTGTTAATGGAAAATAGTGTTAATGTAAAAAAGCGTTTATGGAAAATAGTGTTAATGGAAAATATTGTTAATGGATAATAGTGTTAATGGAAAATATTGTTTATGGAAAACCCCAAGTGCGAACTGACCGTATCCCCAAGCGCGAACTGACCGCATCCCCGCATCCCCAAGCGCGAACTGACCGCATGCCCGCATCCCCAAGCGCGAACTGACCGTATCCCCAAGCGAACTGACCGCATCCCCGCAGCCCCAAGCGCGAACTGACCGCATCCCCAAGCGCGAACTGACCGCATCCCCGCAACCCCAAGCGCGAACTGACCGCATCCCCAAGTGCGAACTGATTGTATCCCCAAGTGCGAACTGACTGCATCCCCAAGTGCGAACTGACCGTATCCCCAAGCGCGAACTGATCGCATCCCCAAGCGCGAACTGACCGTATCCCCAAGCGCGAACTGACCGCATCCCCGCAGCCCCAAGTGCGAACTGACCGCAACCCCGCAACCCCAAGCGCAAACTTACCGCATCCCCAAGTGCGAACTGATTGTATCCCCAAGTGCGAACTGACTGCATCCCCAAGTGCGAACTGACTGCATCCCCAAGTGCGAACTGACCGTATCCCAAAGCGCGAACTGTTCGCATCCCCAAGCGTGAACTGACCGTATCCCCAAGCGCGAACTGACCGCATCCCCGCAGCCCCAAGCGCGAACTGACCGCATCCCCGCAGCCCCAAGCGCGAACAGAAAATAGTGTTTATGGAAAATAGTATTAGTGGAAATTATCGCTTATGGAAAAACAGTGCCTCTCTCTATCTATATTTTTGTATTAATCTATTTGTTCTATGAATGTTTTGTTTGTATACATGTGCGTCCTTGACCTGACGTTAAACTGTAGACAGCACCTAGTGTGTATAAATTATTAAGTGAAAAGTAGTTTACATGGAAAAAAGTGTAATATGGAAAATGTTAAGTAATTGCTCTCACGGGATAATGGACCTTCCTGGCGACCACCGTGCCCGCGCTCGTCCTGGGCATGACGTTAAACTGCAGCCTGGGGTCGCAGTAGCAATGACGGCGCCCCATGTATCCCCCGCATCGTGAGGTTTATTTGTCTGAAGGTTGTTTGTTTGATGGTACTAGTGTCCTTCCACTGTAGTGATAGTAGCAATAGTAGTAGCCATAGCAGTAGTGATAACAGTAGTGGTAGGACGAGCAATAGCAGTAGTAGTAGTAGTAGTAGCAGCAGTAGTAGTAGTAGTAGTAGTAGTAGCAGTATTTGCAGTAGTAGTAGCAGTAGTGGTAGCTGAGCAATAGCAGTAGTAATAGTAGTGGTAGCACGAGTAATAGCAGTAGTAGTAGTAGTAGCAGCACGAGCAATAGCAGTAGTAGTAGTAATAGTAGCAGTAGAGGTAGCACGAGCAATAGCAGCAGTAGTAGTAGTAGCAGTAGTGGTAGCACGAGCAATAGCAGCAGTAGTAGTAGTAGCAGTAGTGGTAGCACGAGCAATAGCAGTAGTAGTAGTAGTGGTAGCAATAGTAATAGCAGTAGTAGCAGTAGTGGTAGCACGAGCAATAGCAGCAGTAGTAGTAGTAGTGGTAGCACGAGTAATAGCAGTAGTAGTAGTTGTAGCAGCACGAGCAATAGCAGTAGTAGTAGTAATAGTAGCAGTAGAGGTAGCACGAACAATAGCAGTATTAGTAGTAGTAGCAGCACGAGCAATAGCAGTAGTAGTAGTAATAGTAGCAGTAGAGGTAGCACGAGCAATAGCAGCAGTAGTAGTAGTAGTAGCAGTAGTGGTAGCACGAGCAATATCAGTAGTAGTAGTAGCAGCACGAGCAATAGCAGCAGTAGTAATAGTAGCAGTAGAGGTAGCACGAGCAATAGCAGTAGTAGTAGTAGTAGTAGCACGAGCAATTGCAGTAGTAGTAGTAGTGATAGCACGAGCAATAGCAGTAGTAGTAGTAGTAGCACGAGCAATAGCAGTAGTAGTAGTAGTAGAATGCACGAGCAATAGTAGTAGTAGTAGTAGTAGTAGCACGAGCAATTGCAGTAGTAGTAGTAGTGATAGCACGAGCAATAGCAGTAGTAGTAGTAGCAGCACGAGCAATAGCAGTAGTAGTAGTAGTAGCACGAGCAATAGCAGTAGTAGTAGTAGTAGCTCGAGCAATAGCAGTAGTAGTAGTAGTGGTAGCACGAGCAATAGCAGTAGTAGTAGTAGTAGCACGAGCAATAGCAGTAGTAGTAGTAGTGGTAGCACGAGCAATAGCAGTAGTAGTAGTTATAGCACGAACAATAGCAGTAGTAGTAGTAGTGGTAGCACGATCAATAGCAGTAGTAGTAGTAGTAGTGGTCGCAAGAGCAATAGCAGTAGTAGTAGTAGTAGTAGTAGAAGTAGTAGCAATAGCAGTAGTAGTAGTGGTAGCAATAGCAATAGCAGTAGTAGTAGTAGTGGTAGCACGAGCAATAGCAGTAGTAGTAGTAGTAGTGGTAGCAATAGCAGTAGTAGTAGTAGTGGTAGCACGAGCAATAGCAGCAGTAGTATTAGTAGTGGTAGCAATAGCAATAGTAGTAGTAGTGGTAGCACGAGCAATAGCAGCAGTAGTATTAGTAGTGGTAGCAATAGCAATAGCAGTAGTAGTAGCATTAGTGGTAGCAAGAGCAATAGCAGTAGTAGTAGTAGTAGTGGTAGCAATAGCAATAGCAGTAGTAGTAGTAGTGGTTGCAAGAGCAATAATAGTAGTAGTATCCCCGCAGCAGGTCTATTTGTCTTAGGATTGTTTGTTTGTATTGTATGTATGTTTGGGTAGTATGTCTGTTGCACAGGCATGTATGTTAGTCATGTATGGCAGTTTGCAAATATTTCTGCAACATGTAGTTGTTTGCGTTGTATGTTGATTTAATTTGATTGTATGATTGCGTCGGATGTTTGCCTTCGCTGCGTATTATTTGCGTTATTTACCTGCATTGCTTGTAAGTTTGCGTGTTTTATTTGTTTGCATTACGTATATTCTTGAGCAAGGGGTTTGTTTACGTTGTATATCCTTGCAATAGATTTACTTTGCATGATTGCGTTTTGTTAATATTTTTTTTATGGCATACATGTTCCGTTTTATAAAACTTGCCTTTTCGCTGAATGTCCTCTTGTGTGACATGCCCATTTGTCTGTAAGGATACTAGAAGGCAGAAGGAAGCACAAAGTCCGTTCGGAACCAGCGACGAGACGGGTACCGCCGTGGACCTCGCCTTATGAAACGGCCAATGGGGCACGGTGTCAGTGCCTCTAGGCCGCGGGATGTCGAACTAATCTCTCCTGCAGCAGGAGTTTACTGCAGGAGAAATAAGGGAAGATGTGGGAAGAGAAATTATATATTTGTACGATATGTATAGTGTATTAAAACAATTAGAGAAAATTCATAACGATGAATGATAACGATTTTATTTTTATCTTGGTTCTTTAATTACGGATAATTATGATGACACAAGGGAAATTAGAAGATGATTATGCAAGACGAATTACGACATAGCAAGTCTTTCGCCGGAAAACTAGGACAAAAAGGGAGACATCGAATAATGAATTTCGTAGCAGACGGAATCACTATAAAAGTAATTATTTTTCCAGAAGCTATACACACCTAGTGTGTATAGCTTCTATTTACTGCCACCATTAGAGCGAAAGGGTTACTTATGGAAAATAATGTATATGTAAAATTGCATATATATGGAAAAGGTATATTTTAGGACCTGTGTGTTTGGCGGGATAGATTATATATAAAGTATGATATGGAAAATCGCGTCACTAGAACACTGTACAAAAAGAAAGATGGCAAAGTGCATCTGGAAAATTGCAGTATGTTAAGAGATTTCAGCGGCAGAGGGAGAGTCAAGGATAAGTCCGATATGCGAAGCTGAGCTTCGCCCGGGCTATGAGGGGGACCGCGGCCCGTGCCGACTAATGTCGACTCGCTAACTCGCTAATGTGTCAGCAGGTGCTGACTCGGGTGAGCTTAGTCCTTACCCACCGTGGTGCCCAGCCACAGCAGTAACCTCCAGGCGACAATTGCAACTTCTCGCGCCTGGGCGGGGCGCGAACCGCCGACCCCTCGGATGAGAGGCCGGCACGTTACCACTGTTACACCCTCTCCCTCCAGCCCGGAGGCTAGAGGGAGAGGGGAGGGAGACGTATTTCTTATCCAGCGGCAGACAGACCTTCTAGGGGACCACCGTGCCCGCGCTTGTCCTGGGCATGACGTTAAACTGCAGCCTGGGGTCGCACTAGCGATGATGACACCCAGTGTATCCCCCGCAGCGGGAGGTCTATTTGTCTTAGGGTTGTTTGTGTGTCTGTATTGTATGCATGTGTAAGTAGCATGTCTGTTGCACAGGCATGTATGTTAGCCATGTGTTAGTTTCCAAATATTTTTGCTATATGAGGTTGTTTGCGTCGTATGTTGATTTACTTTGATTGTATGACTATGTCAGATGTCTTCCTTCATTGCATATGTTTTATGTTGTTTCTCTGTATTGCTTGTATTGTATATCCTAGCACTGGATGATCTATTTGCTTTGCATGATTGCGTTTTGTTAATGTTTTTTTATGGCATACATGTTCCGTGTTATTTCAGTGTTGCACCTGCGTTTTCGCTCAATGTCCTCTTGTGTGACATGTCCGTCTGTCAGCAAGGACGCTAGAGCGCCGAAGAAAGTCAACGTCCATTTGGAACCGGAGACGAGACGGGCACCGCCGTGAACCTCGCCTTATGAAACGCTCAATGGCCACACGGCAGAAGGTGGACGGTGTCAGTGTCTCCATATTTGTGTTATAAAAACCAGCCGTGGGATGTTGAACTAGCTCCTTGTGCAGCCATAGTTTACTGCGTGAGATATGAAGGGAGAGGGGAGAAATATAAGATATATGTATCATGTGTGGTGTACAGTAATGTATAATGTAATACGTAAGACGATATACTGTAACCTATGATATATATTGTCTAATGTGCAATGTTGTATTTATATTTTGAGAAGGAGAGGCCGAGTTAATCTAGCCACTGAGAGGGTAAGTCAGCCTAATTCAGTGCCGGTCCCAAGCCCGGGTAAATAGAGAGGGTTGGAAGCCGTAAAGTTTATATAGCGACCTCAATAATGGGACAAAATTACATCAAAAGAATGAAAAGAAATAGGAGAGGCGGGGTAGATGCGCTAAGTGTTGTACATTGTGATTCTCGTCTTTTTGTAAGTGAGCAGAATGAATTGACTTCAGAATCTAGCGATATTCTGACACAGGAGTGGCATGCGAGGCAAAGCAACAAGGCAAAGCAACAAGACAGACACCGTCGTTGCAGCACGCCGTTGACCTCGAGCACTTTCGCCGTCAAAGTATCAATTACGCCGCGGCCAATTTTATAGCCACGCTCCCTGATACTACAATAACCGCCTTACCGAAGTACATGGCGCCAGTACAGGGATAAGACATGCCCTTCTCCCAGACCTGTTGGCGAATGGACCTCCGCAGATCTGGTTCTTCTTAACCGCTCTTCTTGGCTTTGGGGGAAAGAGGATTAGGAATTTGTAGAAAAAAAAATAGTGCAATTACTAGATATATCGTATTTATTAAAATATTCGTGGAAAATGGTTCATTTTGGAAACTAGTGCATCTGGTGGAAAATAACGCAATTAACAGGAAATTGTGCATTTAGTGAAAAGAAAATGTATTTAGAGAAAATAGTGCGGTTAATGGAAAACTGTTAAAGGAAAATTATTCATTTTGCAAAAAGTGGTGCAGTTTGTGAAATATAGTTTACGGAAAACTGCATTTTACGAAATATATGCTTCGTGTACATGGCCGCGTGTGTGTCTAACTGCACTCTGAGGTCACTTGAGCGAGGCTAGCGAAATAATACATTTTACACGCATCACCGTGTCTAATGTCAAGCGTATTTTGGTGTTTCTTTGTCATGATTATGTGTTTTACTTGCTTCGCGTTCTCCATGAACATTGCTGTGCGATCGCTTTCATAATTTTGTATGTGTCCATGTTATGCGTCCAGGGGTCGCCAGAGCGAGGCTAGCAACATACATCCCATGTCAAGTATGATTTCAAGCATATGCATGGTATGCTAGCCTCGCTCAGAGTGCTTGCTTCTTTGTTTCCATGTCGGTATGCGTATTTCGTATGCATATTTAAATATGTCTGGATTTTTGTAGGGTGGAGAAGTTATCAATATCTCATCTTTTGTGAGTTTCTGTGGATGCTTTTCGGTGTAAATGGGTGCATATGCTGTCCCAAGGTCATTTTTATTTAACATTGAAGGCGAAATGATTTGTAATGTGAAATGAGATATGGTATATGTGATGTACAAATATATGTTAAGAAGGACATGCCTTTTTATGGTGTGTATTTTAGAAGGGAGAGAATTATTGTATTTTCAGTTCCTTGAACGAACGTGACAGGTGAACACAGTGCAAACACCGTTGCGGTAAATGAAATGACAGCGTGTTTGCCTATTTTTTTCTTTCATATATTGCGTATATGCGCCTTGGATATGATGCTAAACAGCACCCTGGGATTCACTTGGGTAAAAGGTGTACTGCTCTGTTTTGTGTACGTATTATATGTATGCTTCTGTTTCCGCCGCATGAATATTCATTTCTATGTACAGCGTGGAGAATTTTATATTTGCACTGTCTGGATGCTTAAGGCAAAAGAAAGCACAAAGTCAACGTCCATTCTGAACCAGCGACGAGACGGGCACCGCCGTGGACCTCGCCTTAGGAAACGTTCACTGGCTACACGGCAGAAGACGGACGGTATCAGATTCGATATGCAAAAAGAAAGATGAGAAAATGCATCTGGAAAATGTTATGTGATCGCTCTCACGGGCTAATGGACCTTCCAGGCGCCCACTGTGCCCGCGCTCGTCCTGGGCATGACGTTAATGACGTGTTAATGGAAAAGTACTTATAGAAAGTTGTGTTAATGGAAGATAGTGCTTATGGAAAATAGTGTTAATGGCGGCAAAATGTCTATCAATGAACATACGCATATATTTTTTGTGCCATGTCTGAGCCTGACGTTGGCGACCATTAATTTCATGGTTGTACAAGGGAGTGTACCAAGGTGGTTTCCCGTTGCCTTCCACCTAATATCGCTTATGGAAAAAAACAGCGCTTATGGAAAATGTGTTTATGGAAAATATTGTTAATGGAAATAGTGTTGGTGGAAAATAGTTCATATAGAAAACAGTGTTAATAGAAAATAGTGCTTATGGAAAGTACTGCATGTGAAAACAAGTGTAGTTTGTGAAAAATAGGAAATATCTTTATTTAGCAAAAATTAGTACAAACTGAGAACAGTGCATTGTATGGTAAATAGTACATATATAATAATTGATGTGTGTCTGTTTTCACTGACTGTATGAATGGGTTGGAAGTCTGCTTGCGCTGCATGTAGTTTGCACTGTTTGCCTGTATGTTTGCCTATTATGTTTGTTTGCATTGCTTTTATGATTACGTTGTATGTATGTTTTGCGCATTGTGTATGGTTAGGTTGGATGTGTGCTTGAAATGCATATAATTTGCGTTGTTTGTCTGTTTGCATTGCTTATATATTTGCGTCTTTTGTAATGCGTGTAACCTTGCACTGTGGTCTGCTTGTATTTCATGTATGTTTTACGTTGTATGTCTGTTTGGACTGCATATTTCGTTGTGTTACTATTCGTACTGTATGAGTACCGTTGCTTGAATTGCATGCATGTTTGTGTTGTATATAGTTGCTCTGCATGTTCTCTTTGTGTTTTGTGTATGTTTTGTATTGCATATTTGTTATTCGCTAAACGTCTTCTTGTGTGACATGTCCGTCTGTCAGCAAGGATGCTAGAGGACAGAAGAAAGCACAAAGTCAACGTCCATTCGGAACCGGAGACGTGTTAGTGGAAAATCGCCCTAATGGAAAAACAGTGCTTATGGAATATAGTTCTTATGGAGAGTAGTGCTTATCGAAAAATATGTTAATGGAAAAATGGGAAAAAAACAGTGCTTATGAAGAAATAGTTTTAATCGAAATAGTGCTTATGGAAAATGGTGTTAATGGAAAATAGTGCTTATAGAAAACAGTGTTAGTAGAAATTAGTGTTAAGAGAAAATTGTGCTAATGGAAAATAGCGTTCATGGAAATAGTGTTAATGGAAAAGTGCTTATAGAAAATAGTGTTAATGGAAAATAGTGATTATGGAAAACAGTGTTAATGAAAAAGTGC